AAAGGTTGTGCAGCTACCCTGTAAACAGCCCGGGGCTCAGATAGTTAATGCGCTCAAGCAGGTTTCAGCTCATAAACAGCTTCAACTAAATCCATTTAAATGACTAGGATCATGTCAATAACTCTGAATGTTGTAGGATGTTATCTGTAGGACCCGAGGTAAAGAGAACCTGTTTCTGAACATTGTTAACCATCTGTTAAATGTCTTTATTTCCCTTTTCTTTCAGGTGAAATACGGGCGATTTGGCTTCGTGTGGGACGCAGCAGTGCTGGAATATGTTGCTAACAATGACGAGGATTGCTCCTTCTACACCGTCAGCAACAATGCGCCAGACCGTGGATACGGCATCGCCATGCAGCACGGCAGCCCCTACAGGGACATTTTCTCCCAGAGGTAAGAGTCGTCGCAGTAAACAACAGTCAACTTGATTTTGTTTATTTATATCAAAGCACATTTCACATGATGGAGCTGTGCTGGTCCAAGCTGTTCATCTCTGGCATGTTGTCTTCAGTTTTTATCTATATAAATACATGCACCCATATATATCCTCCTACTCCTGGAGAGGTCAAGTAAGTTTTTTTTAATTATCTCTCCAAATTATTTTCAAGTCAAAGAGAAATTGTCTTTCCCATAAAGGTTTCCCCTCTGCACTGCTTGAGGAATCTGCTCTGTAGGTCAGACGCCAAGTAAATGGCAGATTAAATTGTACATCTGTCTTCCAGGGGAAAGAGTGAAATGGCACTTTCTGCAGCTTGTTTGCGGTTCGGTTTGCTTAGCCTCAGCGTGAACCGACGCCAGTGCGACAACTCGGCATCGCAAATAAGTCAACAATAGACAGTGTACCGGAGATGCAGCCCGGCTGATCCCAGTTGTTTGTCTTGTCGCTGTAGCACACAGTCAGGCTTTTGTTGGTTCAAAGTATCTCATTGATCAAGACAGTAACCGAATTTATTCATTTATTCACTATCTATCCGTCCCCTCACGGCTACTCGGAAGCCTGATAATTTCTGCAGCCCCGCCGCACAAAAGGTCATTCACTCATCTCCAATGAGTCGTGCCTCCACAATGCTGAGTTTATTTGTTTGCATTAATCTTTAATGCCCCCGCTGCGATGCAAAACCGCAACGCCAGACTGCGGGTTCAGTCGTACGAGGTGAAGTGTTTCGGTGGAGGCCACATAAGGATCGCTCGCATCCCGGCAGAGAAATCCTGTTGGCTTTATTTGTGATCAAGCATGAGATCGTTTGGAGATGAGGGAAAACAAATATGTGTAATGCCTTCATTAAGCCGTCGAAATTTACATTATGTAAAACAGTCGGTGCTGCTTTTGGTGATGTGTGTTTGCGGATGTGTTTGCAATGCTGTGTTATGTGCTGGGGCCAGAGTGTTTATAGCTCCATATCTGGTGAAGCGTTGCACTTCAGAATATTGCCTATCATGGCTTTTATTAAAATAAACAAGCAATTAATTGACAGGCCATGTTTCCAATTTACTCCTATTATTTCAGGGGCAATGTCGCACTCTTGGGACGACAGCTTCAAACAGTTTCCTCACGCTGGTCCCCGCGGTTCGAGCGAAATCAGAGAGAAGGAATTATTAGGAGAAAAGAAATAATCACAGAGGTATAATTGTTTTGTTTTTCTTTGCGGTGATTTTTAGATTTCTCATCCTGACATTCTCTATTATACAGATTAATGAAGCGCAAAGTGGAGGTTTAACAGGAATCGAATTAGCCGTCTGTGGCTTGACGGCGTGGAGAGAAATGTTGAACCGTGTTTGGATATCTTAGGATCATAAGAAACTTGTCGATGCATCTTTAAATTAGATTACCGCTGACTGGAAATTTATCGGCTTACGTCGTCATTTTCCTCACAGCAACTCGCCATTTGAGCATCCATCCATCCATTATCTATACACCGCTTAATCCTCACTAGGGTCACGGGGGGCTGGAGTCTATCCCAGCTGACTTAGGGTGAAGGCAGGGGACACCCTGAACAGGTCACCAGTCTATCACAGGGCTACACTTAGAGACAGACAACCAAGCACACTCACATTCACACCTACGGACAATTTAGAATCACCAATTAACCTCAACATGTTTCTGGACCTTGTGGGAAAAAGCCGGAGAGAACCCGGAGAGAACCCACGCTGCACGGGGAGAACATGCAAACTCCACACAGAAAGATTCCGGTGCCCCCACCAGGACGCGAACCGGCGACCGCCTTGCTGCGAGGCAACAGTGCTAACCACTGAGCCGCCTTGCAGCCCCTATTTGAACATAATCAAGTTTAATACTAATGAATAATTGCAAATTGTGGACTACATTGAATCCTGCAGTAGTGTCTGTGGATATTGTTGAACACACGCCGCCGGTTGCGCTTTCGCCGCCGACCTGTGGCCGAGAGGGATTCTGAGGCGAGCACATTCTTTCACTTTGACAGGAGCGAAAAATGTTGGAGCTGTTAAATTATCAGGAAGTCAGTCAAAACCTCTGTAGGCAGGAGCAAGTGCAGAATGGTGTGATTTTGTTCTTATCAGCGGACCGTTATGCTGTACTGTATGAAACTCGTGCGCTAAAAGGGGGATTTTCAAATGCAGCAGCAGCAACACACATAGAGTGCAGCGTAGTCGAGGCTCAGGCTGGCCAGAAAGCACCAGAGCCAGTGGGAGGAATTACATAAGCAGCAGCCAACATCTGGCTCAAGTCAGTGTAAAGGAAATGTAGAAGGTTTTTTATTGGTTTTGTTTTGGATATTCATAATAAAAACCAGGAAATGATTGCTGGAAATGTGGCAAGAGGGTGAATTATGTAGTAATGAATTCTGGAGTTGGACCATTAAGTAGATTTTTTATCATTTTTTGTGCTCAGGAACCAAATATTATGTCTTAATGATGCACTTTGCACACTATAACAATACAACAACTATTAGGAGTTACTACACCTACTACACTAGTTTTCTACACATCTGTTTGGCAGATTCATCGTCCCTGGATGCCAGAATTTGCCAAACAGCTCGATGTCCTTTGCTAAATTTCCTTAAAATGATGAGACGAAGAAGAGGTAGATCAATTATTTCTTTTTTGTGGGGGAGCTACATTGATAGAAATCTGAGGATCACCGACTTCTGCAGCGACCATTTGACACCAGGTACTTCCATAATCTGTCATCTCAGACAGCTGGGATTAACCGATCACCCAACCGCCGGAGCACCACGCTGGCAGCACATTCCCACCGATGAGCGTCCGACTTCATTATCGTAGGTAACTCAGTCCCCAGCTGCAAAATATTCTCTATCTGCAGCGTGTGTTTTTGACATCTTCACGCCTGTTTGGTTCAGTTACATCAGACTCGAGTCTGTTTGCAGTCCAGTTCACTCGGGCTGGTGTGAAAGCTGTCAGTCATCACCTTTAGCCAACAAACCTCCAGCGTTTCACAGTAGATCGTGCTGCCTGTTTTACATACTTGTTGGTTTGTTTAATACGTGTGTGTGTCGTCTGATTCAAACACACACCTATCACTGCACTCCTCTCAGCAGCATGTGTGTGTGAGAGAACAATTTCAATGTAAAGATACTATTTCTTGTCTGTTTTTTTGCATCTTTTCTGATATTTCATGTCTTGACATGACATTGCTACTGAAGTATAACTGTAGCCACGGGCTCTTTTCTGTCTTTGTTTTAGAAGAATGCATGCTATCTGTGTAAGATGGATAGATCCGTGTGAGGCTTTTGATTTTATCGCAGCAGTTTGTCAGATGAGCTGCTTTCTGTATGTAGGGTTGTGGATAATTCAGAGCTGGTTTCTTCTTTGTAGACGGTTCTGGCTGTCATTTTCAACCAGAAAGGTGTCCCGCATTTATCAGTATTACCTCCCTGTATATTTACTGTCTGCATTCATATTGAGGATGCAACTCTCAGTTATGGCTGCCGTACTGTATTCCCCCCGACCTGTGCCCTCCAATGCATAAAGATAATATAATTAGACATGGAAACACCTTTAGGGGACTGCTCATTGATATTATCATTTATACGCTGGATTGTTTTAATTTATATCATCATTGCTTCTGCAATCTCCCGTTTTTTTCAAAGGCGATATTGATCTTAATTAATGGCTCTGCGTAAATAAATCAGAGCGAAGAAACCGAAACGCTAAACAGCAGCCAAATGTGCGATGACATAATTATAACAGAAATCGATAAAGATGCAAATAGTTCATCGATCGGGCGGCGTAATTGGGGAGCGAATCTACAACTTCTAAGGAGTATTTATATTTGTTTGCGAGTGTGTGTGTGTGTGTGTGTGTTTGTTCTGCATGCTGGAGGAGTGTTTGCTATCTGCAGGTCCCTGGAGGTAATGCGAGAGATGAAAAAGAATTTATTTGTTTTGACACTTTGAAGAGAAAGAGAGAAGGGCAGTGTCTGTAGAAACCGACAGATTGCTACAACTTCATCGTTTTCAACCACTTTGTTTGTTATGAAGGAGCCATTGCCCGAGTTCAAGTGCAGCACCACTTCATATCTGCGCCAGCGTGTGGATCTGGGAGTATTTGTCGGCGCTGTAGAACAAATAACGTGCAAGTGTGTTCGCGCGTCCATGTGTGTGTGCGCGTGCTGCTGTACCGTGATTGATGGAGACAGCCTGCAGATTTACCAGAGTCAGAAAACAGTGCCATAAAGGGATAGTTCGCTAATTTAAGCTGACAGCTACTGACATGTTGTTTTGAAGTGCTGAAGGGGCAAGATTTGAAAAAAAAAGGAAAAAAATAAACCCCTTCTCACGGGCATATATTATTTTTGTCTCTGTTTGTCTGTGGGCATCGACGTGAGAATTTTTAAAGAAGATTTTAATCCATAGCAGATGGGCATCTTGAGGGTGTTGCGGGCATATTGAACACCGTTATGTTTTATATGCAGGATGCACCAGGTTCCAATGTGTGAGTCATCAAGACGGTGCCATTTACATTTTTAGGAGCGATTGTGGTAGCAAATTGGCTGAAAGTCGATGATAAATGTCAGTCGGAATAAACAGTTGAGAGGAAATTAATTACATGCTCGTTATTATTATTATCACGGCCGTGCTGTTTTGCTTTCGTATAAATAGATTCTGAGTTGCAGCACGTATCGGGTAAGTAAAGAGTCTGCCATATGATCGGGCTCAGATACAGTTATATTGTTTTTTCTTCTTTCTTTTTATTACCTGGCTGCAGGCAGCTGTTCATTGGTGGCCCGAGGGCCGACCGCCGTATGTGTCTAAAATAGAGCCGTGGCACGCTATATTTCTGCGGGGAGTGCATGTTGTATGGCACGCTGGAGGGGCCGAGTGACGCATACGACGGCGACAAATCACTGCCACAAACACAGATAAATCACACCTCAGAGGCCACGGGTTAGATTG